AAGAAAATCCATGGAGAGCAAACACAGCTCTTTACGAATTTTTCATAGCTCTTTTAGAATTTTTTTTTCTAATAGGATTTGTGACTTGGTCAGAAGATTAAAGAATGTTTTACATCAGCTTTTCTGACTTTGGTCAGAAAACCCATAAACTATCAAGAGAGCTTTTAGAACTTTTGCTAGCAGTGAGAGCTTTCTCAAGCAGAAAAAAGGCTGTCTCAAGCAGAGAAGGTTTTTTTTTTTTTTTTTTTGGTTTTTTTTTTTTTTTTTGTCTTTTTAAGAATAGCAAGAAAAAGCTGTGTAGAACAGAGCAGAGCACAGAAAGACAGCAGTCTAAAAAAGCTGTCTCAAGCACACTACAAAGAGCTGTCTAGAGAGCAGAAAATAGGTCATCAGCTTGAAGCCAGGATTTGACTTCCAGTCATTTATTTTTGTTGCTTCCAGATACCCCTTCTCTCAGAACCCCTCTCCAAGCTGAAGTTGGTCCTTGGCAGCCTGATTCTTTTGCCTGTCTATGGATCCTGTCCCTCTAACTGTGCTACTTTATCTGAACTCAGTGGTAGGGGATGTGCTGAGCCCTGCAGAGACTCAACATACCAGGTACCCAGTGGGGAGCAATCCTCTCAGAGAAATGGAGGGAGAATGAGGGAGGGGCTGTGTGAGAGGGAACTTTGGAGGTAGCTGTGATCAAGCATGTAAAGTGAATTAAAAATGAAATTAATGAAGGTAAAAGAACCCTTGTGCTCAAAATACATGGCTGAGTCCATTCATTCCAAGATTAACTCTCTTACCAAGTGAATGCACTATTCTTCAAGTACCAAGTTCTTTGCTTTTTAACTTTTTAGAGCTTAGCTATGTATGTACACTGTTGTTGTTTCATCCTACATTGATGCATTTTTCTCATGAGTCTGATGGTGGTTTTATTAAAATATCTTTAAAAGATCTCTACTTATCTGAGAAAATCTTTTGGGTAGCAAAAAGTTGATAACGGGCTCCACTGGGAAGTTTAAATTCCAGTTCAACATTGAATTGCTTTTGATGGAACATTAAGCTGAATTTTTAATTCACTCAGACTTTCTATAATTAGATATCCACAATAAATTCATTCATAGAAGTACGTTTATAAGTCAAATTCCTGAAACTTTCAGGCTCCCGAACAGGTAAAACAAATATAAGACACTGATATTTTTTTTAAAAAAAATATGTATTATTTTATTACTTTACATTCCAAATGTTGTCTGGTTTCCTGGTACCACCCTGGAAACCCCCTATATCATCCCCCTCCCCCTGCTTCTAGGAGGGTGCTCCCCAGTCACCCACTCACTCACGCCCACTCCTGCCTCACCACCTTGCCATTTCCCTACACTAGGGCATCAAGCCTTCACAGGATCAAGCGCCTCCCCTCCCAGGGATGCCAGACCAGGCCAACCTCTGCTACATATGTAGCTGGAGACATGGGTCCCTCTATGTGCACTCTTTGGTTGCTGGTTTAGTCCCTGGGGGCTCTGGGGTGTCTGGTTGGTTGATATTGTTGTTCTTCCTATGGGGTTGCAGCACTGACTTCTTAAAATCTGGCCAATATATCATTTCAGTTTGTCTTCTAAAGCAGAGTTTTTCCTTTTTTGTCTTCAAAATTTTATACATGTATATAACTTATGTACTTCTGATAGATTTCTTGTATTGACCAACTAATTTCTTTCCTATCTTTGTGTCTTTCTGTGCAAAAAAAAAAAAAAAAAACAAAACAAAACAGAACTCTTCTGTGTTCATTGTTAAAATGGCCATATAATATACAGAAGGCAAACTTTTACAACATTCCTCCTTCATCTTAAAACCTTTACACTGTTCTCATCCATTGTTTTATATTTTTGACATATATTATAGGATATAACTCTTGGTCTACTTATTGTGGCATGTTTCCTGTGGAATTAATTGGATTCTATCATCATAAAATATAAGGCCTTTGATGCAATTTAAAAAAGTACTCATCAAGTTGAATAGCTGTTTTTGAAAGCCATTTCTATACTAGAAACTATGATACGTATTAGAAATAGTACACTAAATAAAACCAAGAATCATCTTATGATTAGAAGAAAAGAATTTTCTTTTTCTCACTGACTTTCACATTTGTGAGGTCAAACAAATTAATGTACATTGGGCTGGCCAGAAATGTCATATGAGTTCAGATAGACTTTCTGAGCCTCATTTTTCGAGTGTAGAATGGGCAGAACTAAGATAAAGTAATTGTCAATATTTGTAAAGGCATGAATTTCAAAATCTCCATATAATTTTATTTCAGGTCTGTTTTAAAATTAATATTATTCTTGCTCTGAAAACCAGACCTTCAGTAGCCTGCAATGTAATTCAAGCTAATTGCTTTGAGACAGTTTTGCATGTGTGCAATGCATATGCATCACTTCTGCTTTCATTTTCTTAGCACTTACCACTCTTGTCAAAGCCCCTCCTTTCCACAAATCGCTCTCATATATTCTTGATGATTCTTCTTGTTTTATGACTAATCATAGGTCATATAATTCCTCCTAGATCCACTCTACCTTCTTACCTACCTAACTTCATATCCTCTTTTTATCTCCTTAAAAAAGGTAGTGAGTGGAATCTTGTGTATGGAATTACCCTCTACAGGGCAGTTAATCTATCATGAGTCACACTCTTAAAAGAAAATTGAATTTCCTCCAGGAGTTACCAATGACCAAATTTCCTTGTCTAGGGTATCTTCCCCTCCTTGCTGAGATTTTGTCTGACTTGAGCTTTTGAAGTCCATAAGCATGTCACAAACACTGGGAGATCATATGTTAACTCTCCTATTCAGTAAAACACCATTTTACTGAAGCCATCCACCACCTCTGCCTCTTACAAACCTTTTCATCTCCTCTTCCTTCAACAGTCTTAAGATTTGGGGAGATGGGTTAGGATATTAATATACTATTTAGAACTGAACATCCACAGGCTCTCTTTTTTTTTTGTGCATGTTGAAAAGTTAGAGGTCTTAGTGTTTATCAGCATCTTCTGTAAAAAAAAAAATCTTCTCTATAAGGACTTATAGATGAACTAGTCTGAGGTTAGAGCCAGAAGTTATTATATTAAGAGTCCATTTATCATAATAACAATAATATGTTCTCTCTTAAGAGTTTATAATTCATCTAGCCACAGATTATTGGAGCCAATATTGGTGTACTATCCATCTTGTGGAGTGGGTAGTAATCCAATCAGAAAGTTTTTGGTTATTCCCTGTATCATTTGTGCCACTATTATACCAATGGGCATATCTTTTGGAACCTGTCATTATGATATCTCACAGGGTTCACGACTTGGTAAGATTGCTGACTGCATTTGTCTTCTGGTAGCCTGTATAGATAGCACATTTCAGTACTCTGAATACTAGAAAATAGACATGACTTTGGGAGCTCTGGTTGAAACTTTTGATACTTCTTCCAGAAAGGACCAAAGCACCCACACTTAGGTCTTTCTTCTTCCTCTTGAGTTTCATGTGGTCTATACATTATGTCTTAGGTATTGTGAGCTTTTGGGCTCATATCCACTTATCAGTGAGTCCATACCATGTATGTTCCTTTGAGATTGGGTCACCTCACTCAAGGTGATACTTTCCAGCTCCATCCATTTGCCTAAGAATTTCATGAACTCATTGTTTTTAATAGCAGGGTAGTACTCCATTGTATAAATGTACCACATTTTCTACATCCATTCTTCTGTTGAAGGGCATCTGGGTTATTTCCAATTTCTGGCTATTATAAATAAGGCTGCTATGAACATAGTGGAGCATGTGTCCCTGTTGTATGTTGAAACGTCTTTTGGGTATATGCCCAGGAGTGGTATAGCTGGGTCCTCAGGTAACACTATGTTCAATTTTCTGAGATACCACCAGACTGCTTTCCATAGTGGTTATACTAGTTTACAATCTCACCAACAGTAGAGGAGTGTTCCTCTTTCTCCACATCCTCGCCAACATCTGCTGTCACCTGTGTTTTTGATCTTAGCCATTCGACTGGTGTGAGGTGGAATCTCAGTGTTGTTTTCATTTGTATTTCCCTGATGACTAGGGATGCTGAACACTTCTTTAGGTGCTTCTCAACCATTCGAGCTTCCTCAGTTGAGAATTATTTGTTCAGCTCTGTGCTCTATTTTTTAATAGGGTTCTTTGATTGTCTAGAGTCTAATTTCTTCAGTTCTTTGTATACCTTGGATATTAGACCTTTATCAGATGTAGGGTTGTTGAAGATCTTTTCCCAATCTGTTGGTTGCCACTTTGTCCTATGTGGAGAGCCGCACGGTGCCACACCTTAAAGATGGCACTGGTTTCTGCCTTCACCCGGCCTGATGGCAGGACTCTCTCTCTGTGCCTTATTTGGCTTGGGCTGATGACCTGGCTTGGTTTCTGCATATGTGTGCCTATAGGTATTTGCCATGTGGCATTCCTGAGGTCAGCCGCTGATGAAGTATTTAGCCTGTGGCCAGGGGGTCCCCGGGGTCAGAAGATTGTTAAGAAGGGTCCTGAATAAACTGCTTGAAGAAGAGCTCGTGTGGCATCTTCCTTGCGGGACGAGGGGGAACGCGTCAAGTGGTGGCCTGAGCGGGGAAATCCGAAGCTCAGAACTTCAAGCAGTCAGGGTGGTACACCGGTAAGTTCTCAGGCTACATGGGACGATAAAGTCAAGGTCCTCGGTAAAAGAGACGATAACTTTCCGGGAAGGAACAATTAAAGTTCCCAAGGTGAGTTGGGACAATAACGTCCACGGAGCGCGGCTATTTTGCTCTTCTCTGAAGATAAAGAGAGAGCAGGCAAGTTTCGAGGTTTAGCGAACCGAAAGTGAACAGTTCACGGTTTAGCAAACCGAAAGCGAAAATTGGCGGAATTTGTCTGCAGGCAAACCAAAAGCAAAAGCTGGCAGAATCCGTCCGCAGGCAAACTGAAAGCGGAAGTTGGGGGAAATCCGTCCACAGGCGAGTTTGAAAGCGGGAAAGGCATGGCAGGTCGAAAGTATACTTTTGGATGGAATTTAATTATGGGTGCTTCTCAGTCGCACCCAATTTTTTTGGCTCTTCAAGATCTGCTTTTATCAAGAAAATTAAAGGTGAATAAATCCACTTTGATGAGGTTTTTGAATGAATGCGACACCACCGTAGCTCCGTGGTTCCAGGTATCAGGAAATCTCACAGTATCCTGCTGGGATAAGCTTGGCAGAGACCTTGACTTTGCTCAGCAACAGGGAATTTTGAAAAAGGGAGTGAAACCGATTTGGAAGTTAGTGAGAAGCTGTTTGGAAGATCAGAAATGCTGTAAGGTAGTCGAAGAGGGACAAACGGTGTTAGAAATGTTACAAGAGCAGAGATCAGAGAGGGCTGCAAGTGAGAAGGGAGGGGAGAAAAGAGGGCCATTATACCCTGATCCTAAGGACTTCGAGAACTCAGAGTACACAGACTCAGAAGGAGAGTTACATGCTCTAGTAAAACAGCTAGAGAGAACTACTGTGAGGAAGAAAGAAAAGAAAAAGGAGAAGGAAAAACCCTCGTTGGAGGTCGCCATTAAGACACTCTCAGTTCTTCCAGCTTATCTTGAAGCCCCACAGGCTACTCCGCCTACTCAGCCAGCCCCTCCCCCGCCTTATCTTGAAGCTGCACCAGTTACTCAGCTTGCTCCACCCTCTGGTGCAGGGAGATCATTTTGCCCAGGGATATGGACTCAGGTCAGGACTGAGTTGCAGTTTGCCTACCCTGTTTATCAAGATCCACAGGGGAATAGATATGAAGAACCACTCGACTTTAAAATAGTAAAATCTCTTGCTGAGTCGGTTCGCACTTATGGGATTTCTGCTTCATTTACCATAGCCCAAGTAGAGGCACTGAGTAGGCACTGCATGACTCCTAGCGATTGGTGTTCACTGGCCCATGCCTGCTTAAGCCCAGGACAATATCTGGATTGGAAAGCATTCTTGATTGAGAATGCAACTGAGCAGGCAGCAGTTAATCTGAGAGCTAGCAACCCAGCAGCCACCTGGGACAGAGATATGTTGCTTGGTCAGGGTAGATTTGCTAACCAACAGACAGGCTACCCTGTGCAGGTTTATGAGCAGATTAATCAGATAGCTAGCAGAGCGCGGAAGTCGTTGCCAAATAAAGGAGAAGTGAGTGGCAATCTGACCAGGATCCTGCAGGGGCCCATGGAACCATTCTCAGACTTTGTGGCCCGCATGGTGGAAGCTTCAGGGAGGATCTTTGGAGATCCTGATATGGCCATGCCTCTCATCAAGCAATTGGTCTATGAACAATGCAAAAAAGAATGTAGAGCTGCTACCACCCCATATAAGAACAAGGGGCTTGAGGCTTGGATGAAAGTATGTAGTGAGTTAGGAGGGCTGCTTACTAACGCAGGACTTGCGACTGTGGTGGTTCAACTAACTCAGAAGAAGGGAAACACCTTGGGAGTGTGTTTCAAGTGTGGACAGCCTGGCCATTTAAAGAGACAGTGCCCAGAAAGGGGAAAACACACAGGATAAAGAAGGAGGAAGTGGCCAACGCTTTAGACAGCCAGGTCTCTGTCCAATATGTAAAAAGGGGAACCATTGGGCAAATGAGTGTTGCTCAGTCAAAGACATTAATGGCCGGCCCATAGAGCAGAGAAACAGCAGTGCCTGTCCAAAAAAAAACAGACAGAAGGGCCCGTGACCCCAGGGCCCACAAATATATGGGGCAGTAGAGAGTCAGGACGAGGAGAGCCCAGAGAGATGGCCATCCCTTCATCATCCGGGGAACCGCGGAGAGCCACTAAGGGCTCGGCGGGACTGGACCTCTTCTCCACCAGACTCATATTAACACCCCAAATGGGGGTCCAGGTAATTGAAACAGACTTTAAAGGACCCCTTGAGCCTGGCACAGTTGGGCTATTGCTAGGAAGATCCTCCTCAGCTTTGAGAGGACTTACTGTGCACCCTGGAGTTATAGATCCAGATTATAGTGGAATTGTAAAAATTATGGTTGCCTCTCCATGAGGGATAACTGCCATTTCTCCTGGAGATAAAATTGCTCCATTAGTCATTTTACCGAGTCTGCATGACCGCTATACTGCAAAGGATCAAGGAAGAGGAAAAGGAGGTTTTGGATCCACGGGAGTAGATTTAACATTTCTGTCCCTGGATCTTGACCAACGCCCTGTGCTAGAGTTGAACATAGAAGGGAGGAAAATCCTGGGTCTTTTGGACACAGGAGCAGACAGAAGTATATTCGCTAAGAAAGATTGGCCTTCAGATTGGCCTGTGCAATCTTCCTCTCAAACTTTGCAAGGACTTGGCTATGCAAAAACTCCGGACATGAGTGCAAGGCAGGTAAAGTGGCAGGATCAGGAAGGGCATTCCGGAGTTGTGCAACCATATGTACTTGAGTTGCCAATTTCCCTATGGGGAAGGGATTTATTAAAAGACATGGGCTTCAAGTTGAGTAACCAATATTCTGTCTCCACCCAACGCATGATGCAAGATATGGGGTATGCACCAGGCTATGGCTTAGGGAAGTATTTACAGGGCTGTAAGAGCCCTGTACTCACTCAGCAAAGAAAAATGGGACAGGGCCTGGGTTTTTCCTAGGGGCCACTGAGGGAGGTATTCCCATAACCTGGAAAACGGAGGAGCCAGTATGGGTTCCTCAGTGGCCGGAAAAGCTAAACGCTGCAAAAGAACTTATAGCTGAGCAACTGTCTTTGAATCATATAAAACCATCTGTCTCTCCCTGGAATGCGCCTATTTTTGTTATTAAAAAGAAGTCAGGGAAATGGAGACTGCTACATGATCTTCGTGCAATTAATCAACAAATGCAGATAATGGGACCAGTGCAACCAGGGCTGCCACTGTTATCATCCTTACCTGCCTTTTGGCCTTTAATAGCGATAGATATTAAGGATTGTTTTTTCTCCATTCCCCTGTGTGCTAAGGATAGTGAAAGGTTTGTGTTTACCATCCCATCATGTAATCATGAGGAACCTGATCAAAGGTTTGAGTGGGTGGTTCTGCCACAGGGCATGGCCAATAGTCCTACCATGTGTCAGCTCTATGTAAGCGAGGCCATTACTCCATTAAGGAGAAAGTTCCCAGGTTTGAGGTGTGTCCACTACATAGACGACATTTTGCTGACAGCTAAAAATGAACAAACATTAGATGTAGCTTATGGAGATTTGGTTAAGTTATTGGAGAGAAAAGGATTGTTTATAGCCCCTGAAAAGGTTCAAAAGGAATGCATAGTTGATTATTTGGGGGCAAGAATTGATCCCACTAAATTATTCCCTCAGAAAATTGAATTGAAAGATAACTTAAGAACCCTGAATGATTTTCAGAAATTGCTAGGGGATATTAATTGGATACAAAATTATATAAAACTTCCTAATTATGAGATAAAGCCCCTATATAACATTCTGATAGGTGATTCGGCACTCGATTCCCCTAGGCATTTAACTCCCGAGGCTAGGAAAATTTTGCAGAAGGTTGAGGAGAAGTTGCAGGAAGCATTTTTAGTGTGAAGGCAGGAGTATCAGCCTATTTTGCTATGTATTTTTTGCCACTGCCTATCAACCTACAGGTTTGCTGTGACAGGAAGGGCCACTGTTGTGGATATATCCTAAGACTTCACCTGCAAAATCTATAGAACATTATCCTACAGTTGTTGCAGTGCTCGCTCTAAATGGTGCCCAGCAATGAGTGCAACATTTTGGAGACCCCCCAAGCACTATTATAGTGCCTTATTCTAGCCACCAGCTTAAGATCCTATGCAGTACTATTGATGACTCTGCCATCTTGCAACGCAGTTTTCCAGGGGAATTTGATAATCATTATCCCAAGCATCCATTATTGTCCTTTTTTAAGGGGCATCCTGTGATTTTTCCAAAAATAACTGTTGCCAGCCCCATTAAAGGAGCTCCGACTGTATTTAGAGATGGTTCAAAAACAGACTGTGGAGCCTACATGGTAGAAGAACAAGAACCAGTGCAGTGTCAATATTCACCAGGATCTCCTCAGATCGTGGAGTTGAGTATAGTTGCAGAGGTCTTTACGGCTTGTCCATTTGCATTTAATTTGATCTCTGACTCTGCCTATGTGGTAAATGCTGTAAAGGTACTGGAGGTTGCAGGGGCCATAAAGTTAATCAGTACTGTACACAATCTGCTGCATAATGTTCAACAGTTGATATGGCAAAGAAAACAACCGTTCTTCATCCAACACATCAGAGCGCATACGGGGTTACTGGGGCCATTGAGTAAGGGTAATGATATTGTGGACTGATGGACCAGAGTGGAGTATGTTTTCCTAAGTACAGCTCTGGAACAGGCTTGACAGTTTCACCAAACCTTTCATGTCAATTCAAAACCCCTGCAACAAAAATTCCACTTGTCTAGAGCGGACGCTCGACAAGTGGTTTTGGACTGCCCTCAATGTATTATCCATCATCATCCTCCTAGCATTGGAGTCAACCCTAGAGGGTTGTTGCCTCTTAAACTATGGCAGATGGATGTTACGCATATCTCTGAATTTGGAACGATAAAACATGTACATGTGTCAGTGGACACCTGTTCAGGTGTCATACATTCTACACCTCTGAGTGGAGAAAAAGCTCGCAATGTTGTCGTACATTGCATGGAAGCCTGGGCTGCGTGGGGAAAACCATGCCAGCTTAAAACTGACAACAGACCAGCATATACGGCCCAAACTTTCATTAGTTTCTGCAAACAGATGGAGATGCAGGTCTCCCATGGACTACCTTATAATCCTCAAGGACAAGGTGTTGTGGAGCGTGCCCACCACACCTTAAAAGAATGTCTACAAAAACAAAAAGGGGGAATAGGCTAAGGCCGGACCCCTAAAGAAATAATATCACTAGCTCTGTTTTCTCTTAATTTTTTAAATTTGGATGTTCATGGCTGCTCGGCAGCGGACAGACATCAGGACTTACATGGTCCATCTAAGGGCATGGTGAAATACCCTGACAGGCTCCTGGTGAGGGCCTGATCCCGTGCTGACATGGGCACGAGGTTCTGTTTGTGTTTTTCCTCAGGACCAGCAAGATCCAGTGTTGGTGCCCGAGTGCCTGGTGCGGAAGGTTCACCATGAAGACCCTCCTGAGGCTCCCAATGATGATGGTGACAGTGACATCAGGGACAGCAGAGCCGAGATGGGGGATCCTATTGGTATTCCCAAAACCGATGCCAGTGATGTACAATGCACAAGTGTTCCCTCGCTTGTTTAACACCAATAGAAGCTTGGGAATGGCTTACTTACCCTATGATAGCCAATCTAGTAGCATAGAAAATAATAGGAGCCTAAAACTACAGGGCAGTCTGTGCTTTACATGGTTAGAAATTTATCAGATACAAGTGATTGCATTAAAATTTATAATCAATCCGCTGCATGGATGAAAGAAGTATATTGGGGCACTAGCCATGAAATGAAAGCTAATACATCTGTCCTATCAGGCTGGTGGCCCAGCCGGGAGGGCCATACTTGCCCTCCTGCTCAACCACGTTGGGCCCCCTTTTGCCAGGAAGCCGTGGAAGAAAGTGGCCCACTTCCATGGACAGGTTGTCAGAGTAGAAAAGCCACATGGGTTATACATAATTATTTTTCCTTTTCCCCATATATTAGCGTAGAATTTAATGCAACCTATCCTGGCCCTGATTTTACTGCTGGGGGTCTAGATAAGAGTAGTGTTAATCCTTTTGATTTGTGGCTTCTGTGTGGCATTAATAGGAGCTACACAGATTTGTCACCCCGGCCATGCTGGGCGAAGGTAGCCTGGGTAAAGGAGTTTTAAGATTTGACTGGAAAAGAAGTCTATCTGATATGTTAAGATCAGGAAGTTCATCTGGTAGGGTTTTCTTGGCAGACGGACCAGATTACTTATCAGGAAATGAGCAGGACTGTTTTCACACCTACCCTGGTGTGTGTCTGGCCCCCATTCTTGTGGTTAGTCAGTAATAGTAGTGTTTTTGTTAAGGGAGAGCTACAATGCACTCCTCAAACATGTTTTTATACCTTATGCTGGAATGCCACTCTTTATCAGGTTGCCATTATTACTCGCATGCCTCGTTATGTGCCAGTGCCAGTTGAGGCTCCTAGCAGTCTACAACTATTTAGACAAAAAAGAGATTTTGGCGTCATGGCAGCCATTGTTGCCGCTGTTACCATAGCAGCCATTGGCGCCACTGCCACTGCCTCAGCTCTTGCCTTGTCCAGTTCCATACAAACTGCAGAGACCTTGAATAACCTATCCTCCAATGTGGCTACTGCCCTGGACGTGCAAGCTTCTATCAATTCTCAAATAAAGGGAGGTTTGATGCTGGTCAATCAGAGAATTGACCTAGTACAGGAACAAGTGGATACCTTCTGGTAGCTGGCGCAGCTAGGATGTGAATGGAAAATGACTGGCCTGTGCATTACTTCTATACAGTATCATAATTTTACCCGTGCAGCAAATATTTCCAAAACCCTGTCACAGTTCTTATTACAGAATTGGAGCT